GGGGATCCCTGTTCCGTTGCGTGCCCCGCGAGGCGTGCGCGCCGCCCGACCGGTGCAGGGGGAGCTGTGTACGTACTCCGTAAATGACGCAATCGGGTGGTGGGCGCTTCGCGTGGCAGAGGGTGGAAGCGACTCGGCTATTAGATTCATAATGTAATTAAATAGACTTTACTTTACAAGAAGTTGGATGCTCCGCTGTTCAATAGTAAAAAGCATACTTCCCCTCAAGAAATGAAAATATCCTCCAAAATAGCAAGGGTGGGAGGAGGGTACACTATAGATGAGGTATACTGAGGCCTGCAGGGACCCCGTCGTGTGAAAGGGGCCGTGCACTTTAAATGGGAAAGGACAGTCATTTTGCATAAGCGAGGAGCCAAGCTTAGAGAGGTAGATTGGGGGCGATCGTCCGTCATTGCCTGTTGCGGACCAGTCTCTGCAAGCTCTCATGGCGCCTGATGGGTAGGCAAAATCTCGCCAACAGCACATGCGTGTACTGCGGGGTGGCCTACCCTACGTCCCGCAGGCGCCAAGGCCAAGCACCGCACAGTTGGCCTCATAAATAAATAAATATAGAAAAACTGACGTAAATTTTCTAGACGACCCCTCATTGTCAGTAGTGCCCCCCCCCCCTTTCCCCTGCTCTACGCGGGTCGCAAGGGAAGTCCAAGTTGAGACAACTGAATATGCGAAATAGCGCAATGCACCACGCCACGACCCGTGCCGCCCGCGCCAGGTGGGCGCTCTGCTCACGCCATCCAGTTGTTGAAGGTACTCTGTCCCGCAGGCAGGCGTTGAGCGAGCTGCCATGGGGCCACACGCTACTGGTGAAAAAAAAAGGTGCGCAGGAGGGCGTATCTATGACAACCATCGCAAACAGCGCCACAGATTGTAACTTGTTTACAAATCGCAAATCACCCAGAAGCAGTTTAGGCCACAGTAAACCAAACTGACGGACTTTGAAGTTTGAACGCCCGTCACGGGCCGATTTTGTGGGAACTCGGTGGGATTTTACTCGCAGGACCCAGCTACCGACCAGCCAGCAGCCAGCTACCGCGAGCCACCTTCTTAATGTTCTCCATTGTTGCAGTGTCCACGCAGTCACCTATAGTTGAAATACTTTTTATTAGCACGCAAAATGTTTTTCTCTGGAAGATTGCCAGTTTATTTAAATTAACTCTTTACAATATGGGACAGAGCTGCTGTTTCAAAGAAACCCAACTTCTTTTCTTTCTTTCTTTTTCATACTTCTTTTTTGGTTTTAATATTTGATAATAATGATACCTAACTCGTGGAAAAATCCTAACGCCGCACTGGAGAGGCGAGGGGCGCACCTAGAAATGGGCCCAGAAGACTTCCGCAGCGCTGCTCTCGCGAAGTCGTTCCTCCGGGAATACGGCGAAGGAAATTAACGTCATGCGATAGAGGAGATAATGACGTTTCCAAGCAGGCGACTTGTGCACTAATAGTGGACGGGGCACGGCGGCACGGGGGAGCTCCCGGGAGCGAGGACCGCTGCGCCCCGCCGGACAGTCAGCCCCCCGCTCAGCGGCGAGTCTGCCCCCCCCCCCTCCCCACCACCTCCACGGAGGCTGGGAGGAGAGACAGATTGCACTGCGCGGCCCCTTTTTGACGTCGCGAACGTCAGCGTCCTTTTGTCGCCGCGACGCGTGCGAGTCGCGGGAGTGGTCGCGATGTCGTTCGCGGAGTGGCAGCGAGCGCGCAGCGCGCGCCGCTCTGCCTTGATCAGTACTGTGTAAAACCTTGCATCTTCCTCCGAAAGAATAGCAGCATTTCAATGTGACGAAAAATGATAACAATTTTTTTTCCACAAAATTTTGCATTGAAAAGAGATGGGCAAAAATTTGACTTAGAAAGTGGCCATAGAGACGACGCTCTATCAGTTACTCTACGTGTGACTAACAGTGCCGGGCCGCGCGCCACAGCCCGGCAGCGGCCGAGAGGCAGGCGCCAAAGGATGACCCAAAGGATTTCCCGTCCCGTTTGTTTTCGCACAGCATTCTGTTTCCGGATTACGGCGCGCCTCGCCCCACTGATTTCTGGCTTTTTTTTTCTTTTTTTGTTTTTTTGAGGTCGGTTCGTTTTGATGGTGCGCGCTTGGATACTGGCTAGACCGCGCGGTCGCCTGCCCTGCCCTGCCGCTGCGGGATGCTGCGAGCAGCGCATGCGCGATTCACGGAATGATCCTTTTAGGTTCCAGATCTTTTCCGATTACTATTCCTAGGAAGATTCCCTAGGATAAAATGCGTCGGTTTACCACACTCGCGCCGCTGTGGACAATGTGAGTGGATTTTTCCACCGAGTGGGAGAGGCGGCGTGTCAGGCCCTGCGGGGAAGTCCCTCCGCCTGCAGCGGGCCCGCTCTATACCATGTGTCAACGCCACGACACAACTGAGGGGTCGCCAACTCACCTCAACACTGTACGAAGTATTTAAGTAGTATGTGGTGCACGTTTTAAGGGATTTTATGTCATTTAATGTTTATGTTTTTAATATTATTAAGTATTATAGACTACTATCAGGTATTATAAGGTATTATGGGGCTATTTCGGGGTATTTTGTGACATTATGGAGTATTATTAAGTTATTATGGGACCCGTGTACGGAGTATTATGTGAGTTGGCGACCTCTCGGACACAACCGTATGCTGGGCTGCCGACTCGCTCTACCCGTAAGGCGCCATGGCCCCCCTAGGGTATGCAATCCCGCAACACTGTTGTGTCGTGGCCCCGACACCCGACACACGGTACGAGACGACACCCAGAAGTTCCCCGTACTGCGCTCGCCGTGCACTTCTTGTAGTTGTGCAAGCTGGAGAGCGGGTTGGAAGAACCCTGCACTCGCGGCGAACACATCTGGATGCGGTGTTGACAGGTGTTCAGCTCAATACTCGAAAACCCAAGCTAAAACCACAAAGCATGCATGTAGGTGATGGCAGATCTCTGCTGCTCGGGTCGAACTGCAAACATTTTCTGTTACCAAAAAAATCATGATGTGACTCGTATGACAAAATGTCGGTTTAAGTGATAAGATTTGGAAAAGACGAAAATGTTATCAAATATTAAATGACAACGAAATTGTCTGCAATGACTATTTCATCACATATTAGACAAAATATCTAACAGTTAACATTAACAGCGCATGTTTCGGTTCGCACTCAGTTATGCGTCGACACGTTTCGCCTGAAGCGACCACTTTTAACGCGAAGCCGAGAGGAGGAGGAGCGGGATTGGCAAATAAACAAGGACGGTGGTGGCCCTGAGTCCTGAGTATCCCTGCCCCTTGGTCTGCGCCACAGCCGGCCCGGCCCGGCCCGGCTGGTGGTGGTGGTGGTTTGTATCGCTTCGAACTCGAACCCGGTCAGTCGCCGGTCGGGTTCCGGGTTCGTGGGGCGAGGTGTGGCGTGGCGGAGGCCTGCACAGTGTCGTATCTCGCCCCGGCGGGTCGGGAGGCCCGAGCTCCATGGCGCAGGAGGGCAAGGACCGCGCCAAGTCGGAGATTCACAAAGAGTTATGGCTATACGCGCTGGATTTTTTTGTTTTGTTTTGTTTTTTTGCGTCTTCACACATGATGCTCCTCTTGCTCAATAAGCAAGGAATCCAAAACTATATCGCTAATACAAACTAAATAAATGTTGGGACCCTGTCAAACGTTGTCGCGCACCACCTTGAACACCAAAGCGACGATTTCGCCACACACAATTGCTTGGGCGGCGACGTTTTGTAAAACAATTTTTTAACGAGTTGGATGTCACAACCTCGTAGTTGGAGTAGCCAGAGTGCTTTAACGCCCTTTTCTCTGTGTGTCCCAGGCTGGCCGCGACATGGAGTGACCGAGCCGAGCCCACACTTCGAGAGAATCTTTTTAAAGGACAAAGGTGAGTTTGAAGATGTATACTAGCGGAAACTTTCCATACTTTTGGTTTGATTAACAAGGGAAAATTCTTGCTAGTTAATGAAGTCAAAGTCAAAAAATATCGATACACTCGGACTCGACAAGTGTATACACAAGTGTATACACTTGTCTTATAAGACATCTGGTATTTCAGACTTTTAGACTGTCACACAGTTTTCAGAGCACTGAGCACAGAGTCGTCCCTACCATTATTTAAAAGGGGAATCCTCAACTCTGAAGAGGTTGCCCTTGAACGAACATTTTGCTAAGAGTACTTCACGATTTTATTTCATGGGGAAATTTCCTGGTGGCGCGACGGATATTTTCCACTGTCTGTGACAGGGGCTCGGGCAGGGGAGGCGAGTCTGGCCCATGGCCTGGCCACCGGTCGGGTCAGTGGCTGCGGTGGAGGCCTGTCGCGTGGAGGGCGGGATGGGCTGGACGGCCCCGGATGAATCACAGAATTCAGTCGAAAATGATCTAGATGAAGGACTGCGACTCGTGTTACAGTGGTTAGAACAAATGTGGCATATGGGTTATAGCGTGAGAATAGCTGAACGCATGCCATGAACTGATGAAGTGTGCAATACTGTCACTGTCAAGCACTCGTAGGTGTTTAACCTCCGGGTCTAATACCTGCAAGTACTTATAAGCTGCGAATTTGAGTGCTTGACGAACGTGACACTACATGATATTCTAATCGATTGTGACACAACTCGCATTTGATTGAATGCGACGTCGACATAGTGTTTGAATAACACTGCCTGCGCCGGCCGGCCGGGCCCACAAGCGAGTCAAGTCCACTCACTCGCTTCTGTGCGTGTGAACTGACTGTAGGATCCGGTTCACCCCCCCCCCCTTTACCCCGCAAGAGCGGGTACGAGGCAGAAATGGGGCGGGGATGAGGGGGGATAGCATGCATACGCACACAACTTGGACGCGACCGCAGCGGCACAGCACACCACAAAAAAATAGATAGTGGGATTATTTCACTCGAGTGAAAGAAACACACAATGGTGTGATATGGACGACACATTAAAATCACACAAAACGAAGACAGAGTGGCTCGCACTGCTTGCAGAGAGTATTAAGTGGCGATCAACCTTGGTCCGGCAGAGCGTGCGCACCACTGCACTCACGGCCGGGGCCGGGCCGGTCGGGGCGGCAGAGACGAGTCGTCCTGTTCCTGCATCAGGTCGTCCTTCCGACAGGCCGTGCTGCTGCTGCTGCTGCTGCTGCTGCTGCTGCAGCGGCAGGCTCGCTGCGTTACAGGCTCTTGCACGGGGGCTGCGACTGGAACCTCGACCTGGCTGGGCGCCGCGGAGCCGCCCGGAACCTGATGTTGAGCGCCTCTTTTCTCTTATTCTCTCCCTCTCTCTCCTCCCCGGCGGCCCCGCTCAGCCCGGCTCAGCCCTGCTGGAGGACGCGGCTGACGTCACGGGGCCGCCAGATCGGCCAGAGCTCCACCCCTTTCAGACGTCTTTAACGTCCGACACGCAAAGATAAGCAGACGCCGCGCCACGCCACGCCACGCCACGCCACGCCACGCCGCTCCGCGCCACGCCACGCCACGCCACGCCGCTCCGCGCCACGCCACGCCACGCCACGCCACGCCACGCCACGCCGCGCCGCGCCACGCCACGCCGCGCCACGCCACGCC